CCCCCCCCCCCCCAAACTCACCCGAAAGTAGCAGACCCTTGAGGGCTACGGCCGCGCAAAGGCCCTCTTCGGGCAGCTCGCGGATGGCGTTGCCGGTGAGGTCGAGGAGCGACAGAGACTCTAGGGAGAACAGCTCGGGGGGCACCGCGGACAGCCGATTCTTGCGCAGCTTCAGGGACACCAGGACCGACAGGTTGGACACCTGAGGCATGTCATCGTGTCCGCGCCGCCGCCGCCGCCGCCGCCCCGTACACAACAGTGCGTAAATTAGCACCGTCATGTGGACGGGCGTGCGAAACAAGTGCCAGGGCGATGGCGGCGGCCGAAACGAGAAAGAGAGAGAAATTATGATAGGGTGTGAGTTACCCGGTGTTTATCGGTCACGCGAGCGCTATTCCAGAGTAACACCAGAGGCGAGAAAAGTTGGGAACGAATGTACGTATACCCAAACCCCACACGACTATGTGCCATTTTCCATGAGAGTGCTTGTTCGGTGTGTTTTGTTCTGGGAAGTATTGTAATTTTCAGTTATGAGGACGCAATATATATGTGGAACGCCGCGTGATTGTCAAACGGGTGGTAGTGCTCGCCAACGCCGGAAACCTAACACAACAAGTGGGGACAGGACAAGCACCAACGTCACCACGAAGATGCTTTAGCGACCAAGGTCGAGACGCGGTACCTCCGCAAGCTCACCAACAACGATGGCGACAATGGCGGCACAAACAAGAACAATGCCCACGACGAAACAAGGCGGGGAGGACGGCGGCGAAAAATCACCGCTGCTGTATCCGAGTCACAACCTGGTCCATCGATCCGAAGCGAGAAAACTGGACACGCAGGATTGAGCCCAGCACATGGTTGTATCAAACACAAATCATCAGTGGGTCATGAGGGATATAAACACGTCGGAACGCCCATCCTCGTCGCAAAGCGAAGTGGAGATCACACAACTAATACGAGTGTGTGGAATGTGGAAGGTTTTGTACAGCAGCAGCGCCAGAGGTCGTCTAAGGTTTCGCCCACTTACTGTGAGCCTACGAAACATTTCGGCCAATAAACCGTCATGTACCCAATTCTCTAATAAGACACCGTGGTAAGTACCCTAAGCCTGCCACTGTACCTAGTGTTGTGTCTACAGCAAAAGTCTCCGTAGATGCGCAGCATGTTACGTGTACAGATACACGAATATTGCACACACCGCGGCGGGCAGCTCGGTGATCTGGTTGAAGCTGAGGTCGAGCCGTTGCAGCTCGCACGCCTCCCAAAACTTCTCCCCGTCCGCGGCGTCGACGCCATCTTAAAACCCCAAAACGTCATAAAACGTACGGCAGGAAACACGATGGTGAGGCGCCGGCACGAGCAACGTTGTTGTTCTCGTCTTCACATTGCAAAATGGTTCTCATCTCTCTTCTTTGCAGGTTCTTCTCGTTGTTGGTGTTTTTGTGTTGTCTTCACATTGCAAAATGGTTCTCTTCTATGTAGGTTCTTCATACTATGAACTGATAATACACTAGGGGGGATGTTACGGTTCGGGTTATTCATTGTTCCGCAAGTACACCCCCACAGAGGTAGTTGGCCGCATCGTTGTTGGTGTTCTTGTGTTATTGTCTTACATCAAATATCGTTCTGGTCTAATCGATACTGGTACTTTTCAATGTGCAACATAAAACATGTGTAGCTGGGCGCCGAAAGGGAGCGCGTATCTCGCTACAGCAGTATGAAACAGACAAGAGAAGAGACCCGTGAGCCAGGGGTGCCTTGCCGAAGAGACTACGCGGGGTCATCTGCATGGATGGATGAACACATGTGATGTTCTACATGTGTTCGCCTCGACGATGATCAAGACATACCGTAGTCGCCAGACCAAGAATTCGATTTTCTTTTTTTTTGTCGTCACTTCATATCGATGTGCATGCATATCACATACATATGCATACGGTGATCAGCAGGCGACGGTGGGTGTTCGCCAACTTGGACGCTTGGAGACTGGAGACCCACTGCTGCTGTATCGAATGAACAATACACGGCAGCGTCACAACAGCTAGCGCACGGACGGTGATCCCATGTGCAGATTCATCAATTCTCATACGTGCCAGCTGCCGTCCACCGCCTCGCTCTGCTTGAGGATAGGCATTGTGCCAGCTTGTGTCGTGAGATATCTGCGCGAACCATGTGTACATGTCACAGACGATACTGCTGCTGTAGCTACAGCGGCGGGTTTGTGAACTAAATAGTCTACAGCAGAATATTCGTTCGAACACTAAATATATACCGCGAGCTATTATTACTCCATGCACACAGCACTCACCAAGGAGGTTGAAGACTTGACCGGGGACTTCCTCCAGGCCCTTGGAAGTCAGATTAAGCGACCCCGAAGCTCGGGCCTGCTTGAGAAGCTGCTGCAGAGAGGCAGCCGAGGGCGCGGCGGCGGAGGTGACCTCAAACGCTTGAGACCGCCTGCCTCTGCCTCTCGCCGCTGCTCGCATTGCTTGCACCACGCTCTGTCTCTCCCGCCCACCGCCCCTTGCCGAGGATGCCGCCGTGCCCCCTCCTCCTCCTCCTCCTCTCCTCGCTCTTCCTCGGGCCGATGATAGTGACGCCATTGCTCTGTCTCGTCCGATACGATGATGATGCAACTCAGCTCTCAGCTTGACGGTTGACGCTTTTCTTGAGCCAAGGTGCTTTTTGCTCCACAGCAACTCAAAGAGAATCAACAGGATATACCGAAGCTTTTAGGGTTGGGTCACACAGCAGCAAAGCACAAGAAGTGCGTGTGGAAGGCTCCTGATCCTTGTGGTATGCTGCTGAAGGCTGTGCACTGCTTTGCACTTGGACTTGCTTCCTTGTGGCTTCCTGCTGTCTGGCTGTCTCGTGGGCTTGGAGTGCACCGTATATCATAAGGGTTTGGATCCGGGTATGTACCCCGCATGATCGGCGCCCCCGACGCCGCTGCTGTCTGATTGGCCAGCGATGCCAAGATTGACCAATCACACACAGGCGGAGGCAGGTCCAGAGTGCGCTCTCTCCCCACCCGACTGCACACAACGCGTGCCTCGCGGGGGACTGAGCATAGAGACCAGACAGAACACGAGCACGGCACTATTGTGTGCAGCTATCGCCGGCTGGATATCTGAGACCGCTTGGCGAGCACATTTTTTCTGCAAAATTGGGGTTTGGTTTTGGGGTGCCCCCGCCGCTGCTCAGCGGATAAGGCTGCCCGCCTAGCGTATACGCGTTGCTGCTGCTGCTGCGGAGAGAGGCAGCAGCAGCTAGGCAAGATGGACTTCAACCTGATACGCGAGCACCTGCTGGGTGCCGACCTGAACAAGGGTCTGCAGGTGGGTGTACGTGCGGGACGTCACGAGTGTGGCACTGGCAAGGTTTGGGTGTTGCTGCTCTAGACCCGGATTGGGGTTGTACAACAGAAGCAACGGGAGAGAGCGGGACAGCAGTAGACTGCTGCAAGGACGCCCGCCTTGCTGGTTCTCTCGTCACGACTGTCCTACCGACAGCTTGGTCTGTCTGGTGTTCGGAAGCTTTGGTGTGCCGATCGTTGCCTGTTGGTGTTGGTGTGGGAAAGTCGCTGTGTGCTGCTGGAAACAACGCGCTGCGATAGAGAGGTTAATCGCACATCGTCGCTTGGCTTTTTCAAAACGCTGCGGGTTTGAGCCAAGCTACATGTACACCTCAGCCTTTGTACTCGCCTATCGCCTTTGCACACCGCAGCCCTTGTGATTGTGGTGATGATCGCAAAGGCTTTTAGTTTTTATCTGTGTTTTTCCTCTGCATTGCGTCGCTGCTTCTGTGCATCGCTACGCAATCGATCTGTGTGTGTTTCTGTCCTCGTACCCTCTCCCGCAAATCTCTCTCACTTCGTCAACCCCATCTCCTCTCCTCTTGCCGCCCTCTCTTCCAGCTGTGGGCACTGACAACACCTTCTTTACCCCTTCGTGTGTGTTGTTGATCTCTTCCTTCGCTCCGCCGCCCTTGCCTTGCGTTTATGTTGATATACCATGTACTGTACCACTGCTGCTATTTGCACGTTTGCACTATACCAGGCCGCGGCGGATCTCCGGGAGCGCATGGAAATCGTCCACACCTCAGAGTACCCGAGCTTCATCAGCAGCCTCTTGCGATGCTTTGTGGAGCTGCTCAGGGACAGGCTCACTCCCCAGGTACACGCACCACGGATCATGTTTCTAACGTGCCCCCCTGAATACGGAGCGGAAATCTCGCTCACTGTGTATGCACTGCAGAGGTAGGTAGAGGCACAGCAAAGGTGAAGACGGAGATGTCAACAAGAGGTATCGACACAACAGGGTACAGCAGTAGACGACGAGAGAAGGTACACCAGTAGTGTCCCTCTTGAGTACAGCAGGAGAGAAGTAGAGGCGGAGCGACAAAATGTACGGAGATACATCTGTAGAGATATCAACAAAATGTATGGAGATACAGCAGTAGAGATGCCAATCTAGGCTAAATAAGTGGCGAGTCCACACGAGGTACACACGAGAGTAAATAGGGAGCGGTAGACTAGATGATGAGAGAAGGTACACTTGAAAGGTGTTTGTTCACCGTAAGTCGCGGTCATCGATCGCCGGCATCGAGAAGGGGATGCTTCATCAATGATAAATACTACAGTGACTGCAAAACGCGCCAGCACTTAGGAAACCCTTGTCTTGCGCGCAGCCCTCACGCCTTTATGATGATAAGTATAGGGAAGCCAACAGAGACCATATTGGTTCCGGTGTTCCATTCTGAAGTTCACACCTGTTCTTACGACCACGTTCGTAAAAATTGTCTATTTTTCGGCCTGGATTTGTCTACCATCCATATATTTTTGTAAGTGGCGGCACGTCCTGTGTGTCTTGCACGACCTGTTGGTGTGTACAAGTTCCAAGCAACAAGTACGGCATCTTCCATCTTCCTTCGCATGCATACAACACCGGTCGCCCCGGTGGTCTAGTGGGTAATCTCGCAGTCTGCTAAGGGCCAGGTCATGGGTTCGAGTCCCGGCAGAGTGAGTTTGTTTCTCACTAAATAAATCCTGGTCTAGGATGAAAGCGACGCGCTGCAAAGCTCGTCGTTGGTAAACGATAATCGACTTCGTGAGTCGCGAGGGAAGAGATTGCTGTACACTTCTCGCGATGAAAATACCTCAGGCAGGAACCGCAGGAGGGGGTCCAGCCCCCCCCTCCTATGTGACCCCGGTTGGGTCGTCAAGCTAGTAGAAGTGGAGGATCGAGGCCAGAGGGGCAGACGACAGAGTCCAATGATGGGAGAGAAAAATATATACTTGTATATATAAACAACGTACCCCATCGTACAAGTGCCAAACATTATGCCCCATCGTACAAGTGCCGAACATTATGCGATGACATCTTTCATTTTTTCCCCCTTGTCCTTCTCTCGCTCGCACAATAAAACATGCCCGATGGTACAAATCCCGAGCAACAAGTTTATGGCATGTTCCATCTACCCCCGCCCCTATTCGCCCCCCTCGCACGCAGATGGTCGACAACAAGATCAACAAGTTCCGGCACGTTATCCTAGAGATCCTGCACCGCCTCCCCAACAACGAGGTCCTCAAGCCCCACGTGCAGGAGCTGCTGCTGCTGGTGATGAAGGTCGTGGACACGGACAACGAGGACAACGCCATCCAGGGCCTGCGGGTGGTCTTCGACCTACAGAAGAATTACCGACCGCAGCTGGAGTCGGAAGTGCCGCGATTCTTGCAGGTGGGGCGGGGGGGGGCATGCTATCCGGCCTCCCGAGGGAAAAATTACTGGGAAGCTAACAATGAAGATGTGATTCGTGTAGAGAGTGGCTGGCTAAACTGCACAAGGTCACGCAAAAGAAAAATAAAGGCGACCGCAGCTGGAGTGGGAGAGTACCTCGATTCTTGCAGGGGAGGGGGGGGGTATCCTGTCCGGCCTAGAAATCAATAAGTCTTGGGGACCTGAGGACGAAGCTGATTTGTTGATGTAGAGCGTGGCTGGGTAATGCTGCACATACTTGCACAAGTAGCTTGCACGTGGGGGGGGGGGACATGCTGCCCGGTTGAAGGAGGGCTACAGCAGCAGTCATTGCATCTTGGGATAAATGGTACCATGTGAAACTGTCGGGAAAATGTAAACAAAAATATAAAAGACCACTGTCTGGTACGGCAGCCTGTCTATCTTGCCGGTGTATATCACGCACGCCTCCCGTTGACTCCAAAAAGCCCCCCTCATCGACCCCCCCGTCCCCCGTCCTCCGGAAACAATAGATGGTGAATAACATGTACTAACAAACCCACCCCGGCCCAACCCCCGCTAACAACAGATGGTGAACAACATCTACCGGCAGCTGGGGCGGAGCGTCCATCATATTTTCGGCCCGGAGGGGATCAAGACCGCCCAGCAGGTCGCCGAGATGACCGCCCGTAAGCACGCCCAGCAGGCCGCCGCCCCGGCCCCCGCCTCCGCGGACGGCGCGGCGGCGGCGGCGGCGGCGGCGGCGGCCGCCGAGCCGCCCGCGATCCCGCTCCTGCGCAGCAAGGACTCGTTCAAGGTGTTGACAGAGTGCCCGCTGATCGTGATGCTGCTGTTCCAGCTGTACCCCAAGTACATCAAGGCCAACATCCCGGACCTCATCCCGCTGATGATCGACGCCCTGCGGCTTGCGCCGACGCTGCAGCAGGGGGGCGGTGGTGTGCTTCCCGTGTGCCTGCGGGCGCGGTACAAGGAGATGATCGCTTGCCAGGCGCGTGACTGTTTCATGGTCTGGTTTGGGGTCGGATTTGTTGTTTTGCCTGAGGTGGAATTGGAAGAGGCGCGGCACATTGGGTTGGGTTGTTGGATTTGTTGTTTCAAGCACAGCTTCAGTCGCTCCGTGTACGTGTTGTGCCAAGTGTCGGGTCTTGGCGTGGCCGAAATGGCAAGTGATGGCCCCGAGAAGTTCGGTTTCACTCCAGTAGGATCAAGTCTTGACGCCCCTCCTGTTGCTTTGTTGTCTCACCTCTTTCCTCTCTCTTTACCCCCCCTCCCCCCCCGCGCTGATGTCGCCAACCACGCCACAGGTGAAAACCCTTAGCTTTCTCACGTACCTCCTGCGGGGATTCACGCCCCTCATGCAGCCGTACGAGAAGCAGATATCCTCGAGCGTGATCAACCTGCTGAGGAGCTGCCCGTCTGACGCGGTTGCCACGCGGAAGGAGCTGCTGGTGGCGACGCGGCATATTCTCGCCACGGAGTTCAGGAAGGGATTTTACTCGGAGGTATGTTGCGGAGAATAGATTCCTGTGAAAATGTGTCCGTTGAAATGGGTTTGTTGAAATGGGTTCGTTGAAATGCTTCCGTTGCGACGCCAACGCCGCCTATTGAATGCCTCCGACGAGGTTTGTGTCTCAGCGCTCTCCCGGGCATACGATGAAGCTTTCGGATTTCTTCGTTAGGAAATGCCTGGTAACTTTTTTGTCTTGTACAAGAGAAGGCTTGAACACATGTCCTTGGACAGTATTAGTGGTGGCATTATCTTGAACGGCTATGTATCATTCCTATTGAGAAAAAACGCCTCGTTTCTCGCGCCATGGAAACACACACATGGTACACAGGTTGACCGTATGCTGGACGAAGACCTCTTGGTCGGACCGGGACGTCAGGCGCGCGACACGTTGAGACCTCTCGCCTACTCCACCCTCGCCGACCTCGTGCACCACGTCAAGGATCGCATAGACCTGGACCAAGTCTCCCGGGTCATTCAGGTTCGAATCGATACCGTAAATGTGTCTAGCGGCGTAATTCTGGCTCGGATACATGAATGTTTGGATATTTCGAATGGCGTGATTCAGGTTCGGAAAAGTGGATGTTTGGATGTTTGGATGGCTCGGGCGGCATGATAAAGGTTCGGATGGATGGAAGTTTTGGATGGTTCGAACAGCGTGATTCATGTTATCATGGATGCTTGGATGGTTTGAGCGGCGTGATTGAGGTTCAGATCGATGGATGTTTGGATGTCAAATGAGCGTGATTCGAGTTCGGGTGGGTGTTTAGATGGTTCCAAAGGCGTGATTCAGGCTGGCAGGATGGGTGTTTGGATGTCGATTGAGTGGCGGGATTCAGGTCCGGATGGATGGATGTTTAGATGGTCTCGACCGGCGGGATTCTGGTTTAGATGGATGGATGTTTGGATGTTTAGGCGGGGCGTGGGTGCGTGTCCAGCACGCGCCGCCCTATTTCATGCTGCAGATAGAAGGAAAGGCTGAAATAGTCGCGAAGAACAATAAAAGGTGGCGGGTTTTACACGAAATTCTACTTCTATGGAAGAACCCTGCTCCCGACGGGGAAGAAAAAATGGGCCTCGTCTTGTAATAAGGAAACAAAATGAGTCTCGACCTGAAATAGGAAAAAGAATTAGCGCCGACCAGAAAAAATGAGAAAAAAAGACGTTTTCTCCGCGCGCCTGCTGCTGAAGCGCATTTGTGCCTGTCTCTGAAGTGATTTATTTTTGTTCACGTGTGTTTTTGCGTCGTGTCCAGGGCCGGGTGAATGGCATGGCACACACGGAATATTCAAGTTGTCTCATCCTCTGGATAGCGCGCCAGTGTGCGGTAAAAGGCCGGCTAGTGCCCTTTGCACCTCAAATATGCGGCCCTAGCCCTGGCACTATTTGGCCTTGTACGGACACCTCTCGGCAGTGGTGGTTAGGCGAGAGCAAGTCAGTTTCCTGTGCTTGCTCTGGGCACAAAAGTAGAGGTAATCCAGCCGCTTTGTCCTATCCCAAGCATGATTCATCATTTTGTTTTTTTTTCTTTGGTTTGTCGAAATGACGAAACCGGCGTTTTGCTGCTTTACTCTCGCTTCCTTTTTCAGGTGTTTTCGAAGAACATCCACGACCCATCGCTCCCGATCCCGATCCAGACGACGAGCGTTAGGCTCCTGCTGAACCTAGTGGACTACATCTTCCACAACGACGATCCGGACCTCCAACGGGGAAAGAAGCTTCTCCAGAGAGTTCTCAAGGTGGAGCAATTTTTATTTTTTTTTGTGGACTGCCGGTTGTGCGCTGCTACGCGTCATCAAGTATGCGTTGAAGTTGACGTTTTTTAAGGAGAATCCTCTTTCTGATATTTTTCATGTCTTGCAATTCTGCTGTTAAAACAGTGCAAAGGCTTGTTGGGATTTATCCTTCTTCAGTTTTGTTTGTTGCCGAAGCATCTTCTCTCTATGAAGCGCATTTGACTGCCGCATGCCCCGAGCCGTTGTTTTTTTCTCATCGCCTTGTCAGATCCTTTCGAATTCCCCCGCGCCCCCCTAAAACCAGGCGCTCGTCTACAAGTTCGGGACATTGCGGCACTACATGCCCCTGGTCGAGGGAGCGGAGCGAGCGAGAATCCGCCACGCCAAGGATATCGAGGCCGGCGCTGGCCCCAAGCTGGCGACGGAGAACCTCCGCGAGTCGGGGGTACCCGTCGCCGCCACCGCCGCCGCCGCCGGTGCTGCCGCTCTACCTCTGGCTCCAAGCCCTCCGGGGACCAAGCCAGCAGCGACTGCTACTGCGGCGGCGGGTTCTACTGCTGCTGCTGCTACCCCCGCCGTCGCTGCGGTGGCCGCTAGGCAAGCAACCACCACTGCCGCCGCCGCCGCCGCCGCCGCCGCCGCCGCCGCCGCCGCCGCTGCCGCCGGTGTCAAAGCGGCGGCAACGGCAACGGCGGCGGCGGCGGCGGCGCGGGGGACCGGAGCCGGGGGACCGGAGGCCATGGAGGTGGACGTGGAGAGCACGGGCGGCGGGGCCGGGGGCGGGGGCGGGGAGGAGCAGGTGAACGTTGAAGATGATGTCGACATCGAGGTTGGGGCGGAGGGCGGCGGCGGCGGCGGCGGCGGCGGCCGCGCGAAGGATGCCGGCCCCGCTGAGTCTTCTTCTACCGCCGGCTCTGCTGCAGCAGCAGCAGCAGCAGCTACCCCGGCAAGCGCTATGGAGGTGGATCGTATATCGACCAGCACTCCTGCGACAGCGGCGGCGGCGGCGGCCCCCGCTACCCCAACCGTCGCTGCTGCCGCCCCCGCCGCCGCTGCTTCTGTTGCCCCCGGTCCAGCGGCGACGGCGGCAAGAACGCCGGTCCACGGCGGCGCGGAGGTTGCCAACAGCGCGGCGGCGGCGCTGAGAATCGCGAGGGAGTCTAGCTCGGCTAGAGAGGAGGGGTCCCCGCGGAAGTTTGCCCTGGGGGGCCCGCCGGAGGTGAACGACACCATCCAGGAGGTCAAGGTGAGGAGCGGTGTTGGTACAGTTGTATGTTTGTTTTGGTTTTGCGACGGGAGATGTCGGCGAACGCGTCGTTTGTGTGCCAAGGTTCATGACCTTGCAGGGGGCACACTGCTGCGGGGAGGGAGCGGGGTGATGGTTCAATTGATCGCCGGTTGCGGGGTTTTGGACCCCCCGGTTTGCGGTTGTGTCGTTGGGCATCCAGTGCTTGATTGTGTTGCCGGGTGCCTATGTCACATTGCGTGCAAGCACACAAAATGTCGGCGAGGGTGCGCCCGCCGGGAAAGGTAAGCCGGAAATGTTCGCGCCGAACGCCTGTGCTTGCGCAAGATCTTTCACCTCATGTTCGTTTGTGTACTGTGTCCACTACTGCTGTGGAAGGTGTTGATTGTCTCTGAACTCGTTTGTTTCATGTTGGATGGTTGGCGTCGACCGCTAGTCCGGAATGAACCATGTAAGCGCGAATCGATGTGTAGAGAGTCGCAGGTTGTGAGCATCTCTCTCAGCCAGAAGGTGTAGAACGCCAGGGTGTTGTCGATGTCTCAGTTAGTGTACGTTATCTTACGCTCCAAGACTCCCGCTAGCACGACGTCGCCCCCCCCCTATGAGTGTATGGGCGATGCGGGAAGAACGCCCCGACCTCTCGAGCACGCATGTTCAATGGTCTCACAAGCCTGGCATGCACATCATGACTACCTCCCCCCTCCCCCCTCCCCCGGCCCGGCAGATTCTCGCGAAGACGATGATCCAGGGGCTCAAGACGGTAATCTGGTGCTGCTCCAACTACCGGCAGCCCAAGTCCGGGCAGGACAACTCTTCCTCCAGTGCGGGGGGAAACGCTCCCTCGTCGTCCTCGTCCAACCAAGGGACCATCATACGGCGCCCGATGTCCTGGGAGGAGAGGAACCACACGGCGAAGTTCTTCAAGTGGGCTCTGCCGTGCCTGAGAGTGTTCACTAAGAGCGGCGGGGCGGTGTCGCCCACGGAGTCGAAGGACGCGCTGGATGCGTTCGCGGGGGCGTTTACGGTGCTGGGGCCGTACGACCTGAGAACGGCGGTGAGCGCGCGGTTGGTCTGTGGCGGTATGTACAGCACAGGGCGTTTGTTTGTGTTGTGTTTCGAAGTGGACTACCGCCGAGGTATCGGAGCCTTACGATTTCAGTAAGGCGGCGTGAGCGAACGATTGTGTGGCGGTATGTGTCTACCATTGTTCCTTAAATAGTTGTCTGCTCTGTTGAGAGTTGACAAACCTTGCCTTCGCCGGGTGCCACGGTAGCGCGTCCTCCGATGCTCTGCTCATGATGATGAGGACGCTGCTGCTGATGATGATCACGCTGCTGATCACGATGCTGATGCTGCTTCTGCTTCTGCTCTTGCTCTTGCTGCTGCTGGTGCTGCTGATGTTGTTGTGACTTCTGCGGCTGCTGCTGATGCTGATGCTGCTGCTGCTGCTGCTGCTGCTGCTGCCGCGGTGCTTTCTTGCTCGGTCGCTATCCGTCTCATGCTCCGGGTTTTGGAAGCAGGTGGGTCGGCACATCTCGATACTGTTCGACTCCACGCTGGAAGACCCCTCCCTCCTGACCATACCTCAGCACCTGCTCGCTAACGAGGCCGCCAGCTGCACCTTCGCAGACGTCCTCTTGTCATTCTTGGTGCATCAGATGGACGACCTCGCTGGCTACGAAGAGAGGTGAGGTTTTGGGGCATCGACCGCGCAGGGGGGAGGGGAGTTCCGCGGCATGTAAGGCTTGCATCGACCGCGCAGGGGGGNGGGGGGGGGGGGGGGGGGGGGGGGGGGAGTCCGTGGCATGTAAGGTTTGCATAGACCGCGCAGGAGGGAGGGTGAGGAGGGTGAGTCCGTGGCATGTAAGGTTTGCATAGACCAGGTAGGGGGGCGGAGGTCGGGGGTTCCGTGTCATGTAAGGTTTGTGCAGGCGTCCCGCTTGGGTTGAACGACTCTGGGAATTGGCCATACGCAAACGACGCTGTGCTTGACCACACCTACAGCTACAGCTGTGACCAGTCCCAGATCGCTCTGTGGCGCAACGCAACCCAAAGTGTAGTATTATTTAGCTGAGCACCTGTTCTTGTGGCCCGCGTTCTTAAAGTTTCAGTATCATTTGAGCCCGAAATTCTCAACTCCCGGGTACTTGGGGTGGTGCCGGCCTCGTCATTGGGAACCCTCAGCCCTCCGCCCCGGCTTAGTAGCTACCGCATGTGTGCATGCCAAGGGTTTTTGTTATGAATCTGACTACCACGGCCATGAGAATTACCGACACCCTTTTCCCTCAATCCGTACTGCTGCGTTGTTTTCCTCGTTGCAAGCAGGAGGCCGGTGCCATCCCGCCGCACCCGCCAAGCCAGCGGAGCGGAGCCAAGGAAGAAGAGGACACCTCAAGAGGCAAGCGGTGTCGAAGGGGACAGAAGGAGTTGGATCTGTGTGTGTGTGTGTGTGTGTGTGTGCCTGTGTACCGTCTGTTCTGGCGATTTTTTCTTTTTTTTGTTTACGTGCGTGCTTCTTTCGGTGTATTTGTTTGGCGTACCAGGCGGGGTCGCGCAGGGAGAAGCTTGATAGCGCATTTAGCGTACAGTAAGCAGAGGTGGACTCATGTCCATGGGGCCGAACTGTTTCGTTACATGTAATGCTACTGTCGAGTCAGGTGACAGCCGTCCTGTGGCGTATGTGGAGCGTGAGAGTTAGGTTGGATGTTTGGTCCCCACATAGCGCTACCCTCACATACCCACCCGCCCACCCCGTGTCACCCTGAGCCCGCGGTCAACTTGACCTCCATCACAACCATTCCTTTCTCCCCCCCCTCCCTCCGGTTCTGATGTACTATCGACAATAGGTGTGGAGAGCGCGGCAGGCGACGATGGAAGGGGCTGCCTCCGGCGATAACAAGGCGGCCGGCGAGAGCGGCGAGAGCTCCGGCGGCGGCGGCGGCGTGACTACAGTAACGGCCGCTCGGTCTCGGTCCGAGAATGATCCGGATGGCAAGGACGACGCGGACAAGGATAAGGTGAGACGG